TTTAACTATCTTTTATCTATTTTAAAAATTAAAATATATTGAAAAAGATATCATTTAGAGTTTCTATTTGATAAATTACAACACTTAAAAATATAAGGAAATTTTAGATTGTTAAGTTGAAACATTAAAGGATATCTTAATGTTTAAATATTTCATTCAATTAAATCACTTAAAAATTTAATAATTCTTATTTAAAGATATCTGTAATTTTAAGGAAAAACCTTCTCTGATTTTTTTAAATTATTATCTATATCACAAAAATTATTATTTATAATTAATTTAAATTAACCATAAAAGCATGATCTGCTGATATTCAAAAATTTTGTCTTTTTATTTAAGTTATATTGAATTGCTTCATAAATCTCTTGGTATTGAATATCTACTGAATTAACAATGCAACATTAACTTAATAATTGATATCTAAATTAATATTACAAAGGCAAATTTTTCAATTTAAAACTAGAACGTTATATTACCATATTTAACAGTGAATATTGTAACAACTATATAATATAAAGCTTCATGAATTCAAGGTTTATTTTACATATTAATTTAATTTAGTCTATTCCTCGCTTCATAATTATCTCAAACTATATCTATCAAATTAATATTTTATTCATACATTACCGAAATAGTAAGTAAGTAAATAATTGATACAAATGTAATCAGTTTTATCAAAGCCAAGATTGATGAATTTGCTTAGATAAATTTAATCCTTCTTCATTAATTTTTATATAATTGATAAATGTTTAATGATTTATATCAGCAAAATAAGATTAAGTAAAGATTAAATGATTAAAAAGACATAATATCATACCCCAAAAATGGTTTGGGGGAACAAATAAAAGTCCTCCTTCAATCTTCATATTATGCTTATTTATATACCTTAACATTTCCCCCTAGATTTATTATATTTAACAGGAATCATAAGGTAATAAATAAGTCAGGAATTTGGAGTGACTTTATCCAAAATTTTTTCCATCATTTCTTAGGCCAACCAAAAGTTCAGATATTTTAAAATTTCTTTATTGACCTAGTTTCGATACCAATAGACCATCCTATGTTATACAAAAGGAGTTTGTCTACTAATATCAAAACAGTACGAACTAAAATTTTTTTTATTTTTATTTCTGATTAAGTAATTTACAAAAAAATTACACTAAAAACTAAAATTATGAAATATCTAAGCTGTTAAAAAATTGAAAACCATTATTATCTATATTTATGATTCAATAAGTCTATCCATTTTTACCAATTTTATTATCGATGTCTTATAATTTAATATA